GATCTGAGTAAGTGTTGTGAATGTTGTGGATCTGAGTAAGTGTTGTAAATGTTGTTGTATGTTTGAGTAAGTGTTGTGAATGGTGTGGATCTGAGTAAGTGTTGTAAATGTTGTAGATTTGAGTAAGTGTTGTGAATGTTGTGTATCTGAGTAAGTGTTGTGAATGTTGTAGATTTGAGTAAGTGTTGTGAATGGTGTGGATCTGAGTAAGTGTTGTGAATGTTGTGGATCTGAGTAAGTGTTGTAAATGTTCTGGATCTGAGTAAGTGTTGTAAATGTTCTGGATCTGAGTAAGTGTTGTAAATGTTGTGCATCTGAGTAAGTGTTGTGAATGGTGTGGATCTGAGTACGTGTTGTGAATGTTTTGGATCTGAGTAAGTGTTGTAAATGTTGTTGTATATTTGAGTAAGTGTTGTGAATGGTGTGGATCTGAGTACGTGTTGTAAATGTTGTGGATCTGAGTAAGTGTTGTGAATGTTCTGGATCTGAGTAAGTGTTGTAAATGTTGTGGATCTGAGTAAGTGTTGTGAATGTTGTGGATCTGAGTAAGTGTTGTAAATGTTGTAGATTTAAGTAAATGTTGTGAATGGTGTGGATCTGAGTAAGTGTTGTGAATGTTCTGGATCTGAGTAAGTGTTGTACATGTTGTGGATCTGAGTAAGTGTTGTAAATGTTGTAGATTTAAGTAAGTGTTGTGAATGTTGTGGATCTGAGTAAGTGTTGTGAATGGTGTGGATCTGAGTAAGTGTTGTGAATGTTGTGGATCTGAGTAAGTGTTGTAAATGTTGTAGATTTAAGTAAGTGTTGTGAATGGTGTGGATCTGAGTAAGTGTTGTGAATGTTCTGGATCTGAGTAAGTGTTGTACATGTTGTGGATCTGAGTAAGTGTTGTAAATGTTGTAGATTTAAGTAAGTGTTGTGAATGTTGTGGATCTGAGTAAGTGTTGTGAATGGTGTGGATCTGAGTAAGTGTTGTGAATGTTGTGGATCTAAGTGTTGTAAATGTTGTGGATCTGAGTAAGTGTTGTAAATGTTGTGTATCTGAGTAAGTGTTGTACATGTTGTGGATCTAAGTGTTGTAAATGTTGTGGATCTGAGTAAGTGTTGTAAATGTTGCAGATCTGAGTAAGTGTTGTAAATGTTGCAGATCTGAGTAAATGTTGTGAATGTTGTGTATCTGAGTAAGTGTTGTAAATGTTGTGGATCTGAGTAAGTGTTGTAAATGTTGTGGATCTGAGTAAGTGTTGTGAATGTTGTAGATTTAAGTAAGTGTTGTGAATGTTGTGGATCTGAGTAAGTGTTGTAAATGTTGTGTATCTGAGTAAGTGTTGTAAATGTTGTGTATCTGAGTAAGTGTTGTACATGTTGTGGATCTAAGTGTTGTAAATGTTGTGGATCTGAGTAAGTGTTGTAAATGTTGTGGATCTGAGTAAGTGTTGTGAATGTTGTGGATCTGAGTAAGTGTTGTGAATGTTGTGGATCTGAGTAAGTGTTGTGAATGTTGTGTATCTGAGTAAGTGTTGTGAATGTTGTGGATCTGAGTAAGTGTTGTGAATGTTGTGGATCTGAGTAAGTGTTGTAAATGTTGTATATTTGAGTAAGTGTTGTGAATGGTGTGGATCTGAGTAAGTGTTGTGAATGTTGTAGATTTGAGTAAGTGTTGTGAATGGTGTGGATCTGAGTAAGTGCTGTACATGTTGTGATTTACTCTTGTAAAAAGCGGTGTGCTGTACTGGTAAACGAGTTGGCACGTTCTGTTTGCGTGTCGAACCTTACTAGTTGGCGGGTCTAACGACATGTTTAGATGTCCACGCGATCTAACCCAACAAACAAACCAAACAAAAAGCTCTATTATGAATAATATAGGTAGCGGAAGCCTCCTGCGTGTTAAACATTCCAGATGGTGTCGGCAGAGATTCCACTACTGGATCATAATTCGTGACTTCACTCGGATCCACGTGGCCCAGCCATCGTTACAGGCGCAGCGTATCAGTGGCAGCCGTTAGGCAACAGGTCACCAAAAACTACATGTATAATAGACCATAATCATTCCACATGGACTACGGACATATATAGATATACTTAATGCAATTAACAAATTAAACTACACCCTTGATTAGCATCAATGAAACCGGTAATATATGATGATTCTCACAGCCATTGAGTATTCAAATAAGAAAACGATCATTATTATCTTATCTCTTAAACTTATTGTATAATGTATATGGAGAGCCTTAGCTCGGGGTGATCTCATAAAAGAGTTTGAAAGCGGTCATGAGTGGGCTGTAGGGGAGAGATGGGATGGAGTGGAGGGAGGCAAAGGGGAGGGAAGAGGGAATGGAGTTGGGCGATGATAGAGAAGAGGGGAGGCTTGGGGAGAGTGGAATAGAAGGTCTTTAAGGAGGATGGACTGCTTCATGTACAGGCGCAGTGCTGAATATATGGTGCAGTGTTGAGTCTACAGTATGGGTAGTGTTGAGTCTATGGTGCAGGGTTGAGTCTATGGTGCAGTGTTGAGTATTGTGCAGTGTTGAGTCTATGGGTAGTGTTGAGTCTATAGTGCAATGCGGAGTCTATCGTGCTGTGTTGAGTCTATCGTGCTGTGTTGAGTCTATGGTGCAGTGCTGAGTCTATGGTGCAGTGTTGAGTCTATGGGCAGTTTTGAGTCTATGGTGCAGTGTTGAGTCTATGGGCAGTGCTGAGTCTATGGGCAGTGTTGAATCTATGGGCAGTGTTGAGTCTATGGTGCAGTGTTGAGTCTATGGTGCAGTGTTGAGTATATGGTGCAGTGCTGAGTCTATGGTGCAGTGCTGAGTCTATGGTGCAGTGATGAGTCTATGGTGCAGTTTGGAGTCTATGGTGCAGTGTTGGGTCTATGAGTAGTGTTGAGTCTATGGTGCAATGTTGAGTCTATGGACAGTGTTGACTCTATGGGTAGTGTTGAGTCTATAGTGCAATGCGGAGTCTATTGTGCTGTGTTGAGTCTATGGTGCAGTGTTGAGTCTATGGTGCAGTGTTGAGTCTATGGTGCAGTGTTGAGTCTATGGTGCAGTTTTCAGTCTATGGTGCAGTGTTGGGTATATGGGTAGTGTTGGGTCTATGGGTAGTGTTGTGTCTATGGACAGTGTTGAGTCTATGGTGCAGTGTTAAGTCTATGGTGCAATGTTGGGTCTATAGTGCAGTGCTGAGTCTATTGTGCAGTACTGAGTCTATGGTGCAGTGTTGAGTCTATGGGTATTGTTGAGTCTATGGGCATTGTTGAGTCTATGGGCAGTGTTGAGTCTATAGTGCAGTGTTGAGTCTACGGGCAGTGTTGAGTCTATGGGCAGTGTTGAGTCTATGGGCAGTGTTGAGTCTATAGTGTAGTGTTGAGTCTACGGTGCAGTGCTGCTTAACGTACAGGGGACATTAATTGCTGTCGTGGGGTGCAAGGAAGGACCGAGCACGGCATTGGGCACCGTGAGAAGGAAGTACAGAGAGACAGAGTGAGACGGAGAAGATTCTGATGTCACAATGGGGCAAAGGGGGGGGAAACGTCATTATATCACTGGGATTATTCCACCACAGTTAACCAATCGGCAGGATGTAGAGCGTGGGTCCACCTGTGCCTCTTTCAAGATGCACGGCCAGCGTTCCCGATACCGCCGCTTTAATTCCGTCCTGTTTCCAGCTGTAATGCCCCACCGCTGGGCTGCCATGCTATTAGATCTTTGTCGGAAGCGACCTGGCCATCACAAATAATAGCAGCTCCACCAAGTGGCTGACATCATCATCGCAGTTGTCACGGTGCGCAAATTTGTGGAAGCATCCAAATACTCGAAACGCATAGAGGCCCACAGAGACACATAGAGATACATGGAGACCCATAGAGAGACCCATACTCAGAGGCCCACAGAGACCCACACTTATCGAGACTCATACTAACACTAAACTATGTTTATTTTACCAAGTGAGGCCCCACGACTGAGCTGCTGTGTAGCGACTCTTTTTCGGAAGCTAGCCGGCCATCAACAAATGGCATCAGCTCTACGAAGTGGCAGGTACCGTCAGAATCACCGTGTGGGAATTTATGGAAGCATCCTAAATACAAGAAACGCACAGAGATGCATATAACCCCATATAGACATATTTTAAAGCTTTCGTGACTGCAGGAATCCATACTCTTTTGTTCTTTCGGTAAAGTCACGTAGGTAGAAGAAAAAAAATCACGACGTTTCGATCGCCTGAGGACGAACGCTTGTGTGGCGATCGAAACGTCGTGATTTATTTTATTATCTTTTTCTACCTACGTGACTTTACCGAAAGAACCAAAGAGTGTGAGATGTTCCCGCTTAGCTGCAATGTAGTCACTCTCCTTCAGGAGCGACCTCGCTGTCACACGTGACAGTCCGCCGAAGTGACCTATCATCACGTGGACATTCAAAGCAGCAGCCAAAATTTTGCTCTAAACGCATAGAAACACATAGAGATCCATAGATGTCCATAGAGACCCATAGCATATACGTAGATGTCCATTGAGACCCATAGAGATACATAGTGACACATAGAGATTCGTAGAGACCCATGGAGATACACAGAGTTCCATAGAGACCCAAAGACTAATACAAAATTATTTTTATTTTTTCAGATGTAAGGCCCTCAACCGAGCTGCGATGTTATGAGCTCTTTTGCTCAGAATTGACGTGGCCATCACAAATGATAGCCCAATGAAGTTGGCTGATATCATCACCATCATCACCCCGTGGAAATGTATAACATCAGACACATACTCTAAACGCACAGAAACCCATAGAGACACAGAGATACATAAAGACCCATAGAGATGCATAGATATACAAATAGACTCATAGAGATACATAGAGACACATAGAGACACATTGAGATGCATAGAGACCCATAGATATCCACAGATATACAAAGAGACTCATAGAGACACATTGAGACACATAGAGATACATAGAGACCCATAGAGACACATACAGATGCATAGAGACCCACAAAGATGCATAGAGATACATAGAGACCCATAGAGACCTATAGAGATGCATAGAGACCCACAGAGATAAATAGAGACCCACAAAGACACATAGAGACCCATAGAGCCCTATAGAACGCATAGAGACCCTACAGGGAACCCGTACACAGAGGCTCACAAAGACCCACACTCATCGAGACCCTAACAAAAAAATATATTTTTTTTACGCCACCAGGTCTAACGAGGCCCCACTGAGCTCTGGTAGCGACTCTGGCCATCACAAATGATGCCAGCAGCTCAACCAAAGTGCGCTGATACCATCAACGCCACCATCGTCGTCACCGCGTCGACATTCACAGTAGCAGCAGCAGCAGCAGCCAAATGCTGCGAGCAGCGTGGGGTGACGTTGATTCTAAAAATGGAGGTGGAGACCCCAGAGGGCAAAGGAGGGAAAATCCACGCAGTGACCTCCACCACTACCTCCGTTATAACGCATGCAGCGTTATAAGGCGTGTAACGTTATTATGAGTGTAACGTTATTACGAGTGTAATGTTATAATGGGCCAACGTTATTACGCGTGTAACGTTATTACTCGTGTAACGTTATTACGAGTGTAACGTTATTACGAGTGTAACGTTATTACTCGTGTAACGTTATAACGAGTGTAACGTTATTACGAGTGTAACGTTATTACGAGTGTAATGTTATAATGGGCCAAAGTTATTACGCGTGTAACGTTATTACTCGTGTAACATTATTACGAGTGTAACGTTATTACACGTGCAACGTTATTTCACGTGTAACGTTATTACGAGTGTAACGTTATTACGCGTGTAACGTTATTACGAGTGTAATGTTATATTGGGCCAACGTTATTACACGTGCAACGTTATTACGCGTGTAATGTTATTACACGTGCAACGTTATTACGAGTGTAACGTTATTACGCGTGTAATGTTATTACGCGTGTAATGTTATAACGGGGCAACGTTATTACACGTGTAACGTTATTACGCGTGTAACGTTATTACGCGTGTAACGTTATTACACGTGCAACGTTATTACACGTGTAATGTTATTACGCGTGTAATGTTATAACGGGGCAACGTTATTACACGTGGAATGTTATTACGCGTGTAACGTTATTATGCGTGTAACGTTATTACGAGTGTAATGTTATAATGGGCCGACGTTATTACGCGTGTAACGTTATTACTCGTGTAACGTTATTACGCGTGTAACGTTATTACTCGTGTAACGTTATTATGCGTGTAACGTTATTACGAGTGTAACGTTATTACGAGTGTAACGTTATTACGAGTGTAACGTTATTACACGTGCAACGTTATTTCACGTGTAACGTTATTACACGTGCAACGTTATTACGAGTGCAACGTTATTTAACGTGTAACGTTATTACGCGTATAATGTTATTATGCGTGTAATGTTATTATGCGTGTAACGTTATAACGGGGCAACGTTATTACACGTGTAACGTTATTACGAGTGTAACGTTATTACGAGTGTAACGTTATTACGAGTGTAACGTTATTACGAGTGTAACGTTATTACGCGTGTAATGTTATTACGATTGTAATGCTATAACGCGTGCAACGTTATAATGGTGCAAGTTATAACTCGTGCGTCGTTATAACGCTGAAGAGATTGGGGGCCTTAACACTTGGTAAAATAAAAACATAAGTGTGTTCATTTAGATGTGATCCAGCTCCCTGATAGCCACCGAACCCCGGTCGACCGTCAGCGCGGGGCGGAGAGGCCGCGCAAGACCACCGGCGCCACCGCCACCGGCGCCCACGCCCACGAACGAGTGCAGCAGCGTGGCCGATCCGGCGTCGTAGAACGACAGCAGCCCCACGTCGCGGTCGAGGTGCACGCCGAGACGACGCCGCTGGCCGTCCCCGCCGACGGCTGCGGCCAGCGGCGTCTCCAGCCCCCCGTGGCACGCGGCCAGGTGGCCCCCGTCGCGTCTCGCCAGGCTCCAGGAGGCGCCGGTGTCTCCGCCTCCTCCTCCTCCTCCTCCTCCGCCTCCTCCGCCTCCTCCTCCTCCTCCTCCTCCTCCGCCTCCTCCTCCTCCTCCGCCGCCGCCGCCGGCATCGTCGTCGTACGCGACGCCGACCTCGTAGGAGTCGGAGGCGCTGACGTCCACCTCCCAGTAGTGGCGGCCCGACGAGAAGCTCGGCGAGCAGAGGGCCGCGACGCGCCGGGCGGGTGCCTCCGGGCGGCCGGGGACGCCGGCGTCGGGGGACTTGGTCAGGGTCCTGAGGTCGGAGGAGACCTGGAGGGGGAGGCCGTCGCCATCGTCGGGGCTCTCAACGACGGTGGGGGAGCGTCCGTCTGGGAGAGAGGAGAGAGAGAGAGAGAGACGGGATAGATGGATGGTGAAGGCGTGCGTCTCACCCCTCGCTCGTTCTTTCATTCGTTGATTCACTCGCCCATTCGCTCGCCCATTCGCTCGCCCATTCACTCGCCCATTCACCAACTCACTGACTGACAGTGAGTACTCACACCACCACACAGGCAAAGGCGGTCGGGCGTGGTGCCGGCGACCCACCCCCTCGTGTGCCGTTCCAGCCTTCATAGGTGCTCGCTAACAGCACTTGCCCATGCAGTCTGTTAAGGCTACACGGGGGATCTTTGTCTTTGTGTGGTGTAGTGGTGTATCGTGTGATGGTGCATTACTTTCTGCCGTTGCAGTGCATTGCCCAGTGCCTGATGAGACTCACACAGGAAGGCCAGCAGTCTGACGATGACTCCTTCCACAGAGGCGAGCGAGCTGATCTCCCCTGCGCTGACGCCTCGTGGCGGAATCTCGTCAGTCGCCCTCTCTCTCCTGTCAACTCGGGACGCGGGGGACAACAATCGCACGGACAATGAGTCTCCTGCCCTACCCGTGTAGCCACTAGCAGTGCTGCAGGGTGCAAGTGCTGTTCAATAGCGAAGAGCGTTGCCTATGAGGGCTACCGGCCACTCTGGCACGAACAGAGGGGGTGGGTGGCCAGCACCACGCCCGGCCACTTTTCCCTCCCCAGTGGCGATGTTTAGTACACCACCGCTACACCAGGTGTGCCTAGGGGAGGCCCAGGACCGGTTCAAATAATCGTCACCGGTCTCTGCCGGGTCCAAAGCGCAGTGCCGCGCTAACCACTCCTGCACTACCACTCCCCACAAGTGAACAGAAACGCGAGTACACTCACCACCCCAAGCCAAATCATTCCCCGTATATCCTACACGTGGCTGTAGAGGGCACGGGCTGTTACCCATTCATTCAGACATTCACTCACCCACCCATTAACTCACTGACACACTCATTCACCCACTCACCCACTCATTCACCCACTCACTCACTCACCCAGTCATTCACCCACTCATTCACCCACTCATTCACCCACTCAGCGAGTCACCCACACTCTTATCCACTCGCCCGCTCACTCGCCAATTCAACCACCCACCCACCACGAGTATTTTATGTAGACCATTTGGCAAGGGAGAGTTTCTGTTGTGGTAATGGGAAATTACTAAGGCCGATACGGGCACTGGCATACGATAGTGACTCGAAGCCATTTTTTCAACATCCGATCTGGAGAAAGGCAGAGTCATTGCAGTGAAGATGATCCATTACCTGCGGGTCTCTTCCATGTGACTCTAAGAAGAGAAGAGGAACAAGGTTTAAGGGGGCGGAAATGTCCGGGTGGCAAACGAATGCATACATACAGCAGAACCCCATACACTACACTATACACTACACTATACACTATACACTAAACTATACACTACACTATACACTACACTCTACACTACACTACCCTACACACTACACTCTTATACACTACACTATACACTACTCTACACTAATATACACTACTCTCCTATACACTACACTGCTATACACTACACTATACAATACTCTATACACTACACTGTTATACACTACACTACCATACACTGCACAATACACTACACCACTATACACTACACCATATACTACACCACACATTGGGCTCTAGGGAGGCCCGTCGTTAAGCGATTAGTCGTTAACAGGGGTGGAGGGGATGATGATGATGATGATGATGGAACCCACGACCCCCTGTATACCAGGCGAGGTAGTCAACATCACCTAGCCACCATGATGATGATGATGATGGGAGAGACGCAGACTCCAAATATACAGCAGGTAGTCAACATCTCCATTGGCACCGAGGCCATCCCCCAACAAAAAACTGGAAAAACCTCACAAAACACCACGACAACAGTCGCAGACAGCGACACACACACCGGACCTGCAAGAAGCCGATGGGGTCGTCCTCGTCCTCGAGCGCCCCCAGGCGCTCGGACGCCTCCTTGAGGTCGGCGATCTTCCGCTGGTGGCGAGCGATGCCCTCCTGGATGCGGCGGATGAGCTCGTGGCCGGCGGCCTCGACGGAGCGGTGGGCCTCCTTCTCCTTTTCGTTGAGGGTCGCGCGCATGTGCGCAAACGAGCCCGAGATGCGCGCCTTGCTCTTGAGCACGGTTTTCTGCGCGGGAGGGGAGCGGGGAGAGCTCACGCATCCACTTATCCACTCAGCCACAAACACACACTCGTTCACTCGTTCACTCACTCCCTCATCCACTCACTCATCCACTCACCCACTCACACACACTCACTCACACACTCACTCACACACCCACTCACTCACCCACTCACTCACACACACACTCACTCATCCACTCGTTCACCCACTCCCTCATCCACTCACTCACTCAGACACTCACTCACACACACACTCACTCACACACTCACCCACTCACTCACTCACCCACTCACTCACTCACACACACACTCACTCATCCACTCACTCACCACTCACTCACCCACTCACTCACACACACACTTACTCATCCACTCGTTCACCCACTCCCTCATCCACTCACTCACTCAATCTACTCACCCACTCACTCAACCACCCACTCACTCATCCCCTTATCCACTCAGCCACAAACACACACTCACTCGTTCACTCACTCACCCACTCACATACACACTCACTCATTCACACACACACTCACTCATTCACTCGTTCACCCACTCCCTCATCCACTCAGTCACTCATCCACTCACCCACTCACTCACCCACTCACTTACTCACCCACTCACTCATCCACTCGTTCACCCACTCCCTCATCCATTCAGTCACTCATCCACTCACCCACTCACTCATCCACCCACTCACTCAATAATCTACTCACTCACTCATCCACTCACTCGCTCACCCACTCACTTATCCACTCACCCACACACTCACTCATCCACTCGCTAACTCACTCATTCATCCACTCACCCACTCACTCACTTATCCACTCAGATTTTGCTATTGATAAAGTCACGTATATAGAAAATTAAAGAAAAATAATCAAACAATAAAAAGAAATTAAAAAATACTAAAAAAATATCGAAAGGTTGTGAGTTTCGAGTTTTTCATTTGTAAATTATTCTTTTTTTTGTACTATTTTCATTTCATTTTCTGTCTACGTGACTTCACCGAAAGAAACCCCACAGAATACGAATTCCTGCAGTCACGAAAGTTTCGAGTCGAAATTTTGTATTAATTAATTACGATTTCGACTTCCGTTTATTCGGGCACCCCGGGGGTCCCGTCACTAGGTTCAAAATTTTAGCTCTAGGGCAGGGGTGGGGAACGTCCGGCCCGCGGGCCGTATAAGGCACCGCGGAATCATTTGGTGTGGCCCTGTCAAGGCAACCGCAGGCGGGACTCGAAATTCAATAAATCTTAGGAGCAAACCTGGAAAAGCAGTTGCGAGTAGCAACATCGTCAATAGCAGCTAACATCATCAATACCGGCTAACATCATCAATACCAGATAACATCATCAATACCGGCTAACATCATCAATAGCAGCTAACATCATCAATACCGGCTAACATCATCAATACCAGCTAACATCATCAATACCGGCTAACATCATCAATACCAGATAACATCATCACTACGCCTCGCCAAAGAGGAGCAGTTCCAGGCCCATCGCATTAGGGGTGAGTTCATTAAATGTTTGACCAAATCTAAACAGGCTAATTTTTTTAAGTTGATCATTTTGTACGGCCCGCGAATGATGTCATATAAATATCCAAATGGCCCTTGGCAGAAAAAAAAATGTTCCCCACCCCTGGTCCAGGAGAAGGCAGTTCCATGCCAGAGGGGACGTTACCTCCACCTCCCTCTGCGACGCCTCCATCTTCTTGACCGATGCCTCTGCGGCCTTCCTCTCGTCTTCGGCCGCTCGCCTCTCGTCCCTGATGGAGCTCTTCCAAATGGACAGACGGAGCGGACGGTATGCACATGTAAGGTGTGCGCATTGAGAGTAGGTTTTCACATTTTTCTTCTGGCAACAAAACAGCCGTGTTACGATCATGGCACCTCCTTTGCCACTACCAAAATATGATAATAGTGTTTTCCCCCTTTTGTCTGAGCAATAAAAACAGCCGTGTTGTGATGTTAGAACACCAAACTGAAACAGTTTAACATGTAGGAGGCTTTCGCGACCAATATTATTCATAATAAAGGTTTTTGGGTTAGATCGCGTTATTTATAAATGTGTCGTAACCCTCCACCACCCGACACGGCCAATCAGCAAAAAAAAGAAGTGTCACGTTGACAAAAGACATAAATAGTTCGCTACTTTCGGTGAAGTCACGTAGATAGAAAATTAATGGATCACGACGTTTCGATCGTAACACAAGCGACCGTCTTCAGGTGAGAGGAGCTCTCCCCTGAAGACGGTTGTGATCGATTAATTTTCTATCTACGTGACTTTACCGAAAGAACCAAAGAGTATGTATTCCTGCAGTCACGGAAGCTTCAAATCAAGACCAAACTGAAACCTTTTACAAGGAATCATGTTACTGCATTAACCACAATACTTGTGGTCAGAATGCATGTTTCAGTTTGGTGTTTTAACATCTTAACACCGCTGTTTTGTTGCCAGAAAAAAAAGGGGAAAACCTATTCTCATATTTCGATTTAAAGCTTTCGTGACTGCAGGGATTCATCTTCTTGGTGTTTCCCTTCTACGTGACTTTACCGAAAGAACCAAAAAGACCTATTCTCATATTTTGGTACTGGCAAAGGAGGTCCCATGATATATACACAATGTTTGCTCACTTTATATATGTAAAACTATACATAAAATCTAATTTTAAAAAAAGACGTGTTCGGTACAGCGTCGTATGCCTTTGCGAGCCATGGACATTAAAAAAAAAACAATAATAATAATAAAGGACTGACAGGATTAAGTTGTTTTTTCGGCACTCGAAATCTGCCGCTTACGGCAAAGCGATTGCCGCTGCTGCGAAGCTGGGAACCAACAACGAGTGGAACCGACTTAAAAAAAAAAATAACGTTGCACCAGTGAAGAAGAAGACGACGATCTGATGATGCTGCTGATGCTGATGATGGAGATTCAGTCTGTGACCATCAGGAAACCGGGGCCAATCGTCGGACGCGCACAGCGGACGCTGCAGCACGGACGCCCAATAGGAGCGAGGTCAAAAGTTCGCCGTGGCTTTTTGACCTCTCCGACACGCGAGAACCGCTCCGGTGCTGAGCTGGCGAAGCGGTGGCACGTTTTGTTTGCACACGCGACTCTAAAACCTCAAGGAATTGGTGGTGGTGGCGGATTTAATGATGAACACAGCATCTATATTCGCGTGATCTCTAACCCACAGGAAACCCCTCCCCCCTCCCCCCATCTATTAATAGTAATGTATGATGTGGGTGGGTGAGTGGGTGGGTGAGTCAGTGAGTAGATGAGTGAGTGTTGTCGGTGAGTGGTTGAGTGAGTGAGTTGCTAGGTAGGTGAGTGAGTATATTAGTGAGTGGGTGAGTGAGTGGGTGAGCGAGTGAGCGAGCGAGTTGGTGATTGAGTGTGTGGGTGGGTGAGTGGATGATTGAGTTGATTTTTGCGCGATCTCAAACCCACGGGAAAAAAAAAAACACCTCTATTGATGGTAATGTATGAAGTGTTTGTTGTTTCAGAAAGCCTACTTCAGCGTGTGATCAATGCGCATTCGTGATGGACTCATGAGAGTGTGAAGTAACACAATGTTTCTATTTATTGTGTGAGTGGGTGAGTGAGTGAGTGGGTGAGTGAGTGAGTGGGTGAGTGAGTGGGTGAGTGAGCAGATTAGTCCATGAGTGTGTGGGTGAGTGAGTGGGTTAGTGAGTGGGTGATTAGGTGAGTAAGTAGGTGAGTGGGTGAGTGAGTGGATACGTGAGTGAATGGGTGACTGAGTGGGTTTGTGAGTAGATTAGTCCATGTGTGTATGGGTGAGTGGGTGGGTGAGTGACTGGGTGAGTGAGTGGGTGAGTGGGTGAGTAAGTGGATGAGTGAGTGAGTGAGTGAGTGGATGGGTGAGTGGGTTGGTGGGTGAGTTCCTAGGTAAGTGAGTGAGTGGGTGAGTGGGTGAGCGAGTGGGTAAGCGAGTGTATAAAGTGTTGTCGTTGTTGTTCGGGGAAACATGGAAGAAAGCTTAAAAAAGGGGAAGGCTCTAACAACAACGAGTGGATCGTTGGGCGGCTAAAACACAGCAAGTTGGCACAGTGGGGGTACAGCTGGTGGTGCATCTGTAGTAGGTTTTGTATGGAGACGGAGTCTTCTTAGGAGGCAACGCGTATTTATTTATAAGAACAATAACAGTAACACTAGGTCCCTAACACGAAGGGGTAATGGCCCCTTCTACCCACAACCTAAGGATGTACAGCTGGCTAACGTGCCCCAACTACTGGGGCCAACCACTCTTTAGCCCTCCGGCTAGCGGGACCTAGGGGAGGCTGACCCGACCCAGCCAAGGACCGCTGGCCCACACAGACCCGGCCCTGAGAAGGACGTCGGGGCTTGGGGTCCAGGGCCCTATTTTCAAGTGGGCTTCTGGGTCTTCGGCTTGAGGCGGACTGACCCCAGCCGCTCTTGGGGTCCGGTTTTTATGGGGCTCCCAGGGCCACCTCGCCCCTGGTCACGCCCACAATCTGGAACCTTGTGGAGGGATCTGGATTGTTGCGCAATCCTCCCCAGCCTCCCACCCGGGGCCCTGGGGTGTCCCCCTCCGGTTCCCAACCGTCCCCCCCCCCCCCAGGATGCTTGACCCACGAGTCCTGCTCGGCACAGCCCGGACTCGCTATTGCCCCCTGTTGGGCCCTGACTGGATGTACCTGCTCAAGCACATTGGTGGCGGCGTATTACGGCCAACAATTACCCACCACACATCTACCAGTGGTCATCTCAGTCGGCCGACCCATGGCACCTACTGGGTCTGTCCCTTGACCTCCTGGTGCACCTAGCCTGGCACAGTAGGGGGGTACATCTGGTGGTGCATTTACCGGTCATCTCAGTCAGCCAACCCATGGCACCTACTGGGTCTGTCCCGTGACCTCCTGGTGCACCTAGCCTGGCACAGTAGGGGGCTAGAACTGGTGTTGCATCTGCCGGTCATCTCAGTCGGCCGACCCATGGCACCTATTGGGTCTGTCCCTTGACCTCATGGTGCACCTAGCCTGGCACAGTAGGGGGGTACATCTGGTTGTGCATTTACCGGTCATCTCAGTCAGCCAACCCATGGCACCTACTGGGTCTGTCCCGTGACCTCCTGGTGAACCTAGCTTGGCACAGTATGGGGGTACATCTGGTGATGCATTTACCGGTCATCTCAGTCAGCCAACCCATGGCACCTACTGGGTCTGTCCCGTGACCTCCTGGTGAACCTAGCCTGGCACAGTAGGGGGGTACAGCTGGTGGTGCATCTAGTAGTCATCTCAGTCAACCGACCCATGGCACCTACTGGGTCTGTCCCGTGACCTCCTCCTGTCAGCAGCGAGCCTTCGACACTTCACGTGGTAGCCTCAAAGGTGCACCTGGCCTGGCACAGGCGCCATGGTGACGTCACCGTCACTTCGTGGCGAATGGCGGTTGTATTGGTATAGTGTATAGTAGTGTAGTGTATGGTGTAGTGTATAGTGCAGTGTATAGTTGTGGTGTGTAAAGTAGTGTAGTGTATAGTAGTGTATAGTAGTCTAGTGAATAGTAGTGTAGTGGATAGTGTATAGTAGTTTTGTGTATAGTAGTGTAGTGTATAGTAGTCTAGTGTATAGTGTCTAGTAGTGTAGTGGATAGTGGATAGTAGTGTTGTGTATAGTGTATAGTAGTGGAGTGTATAGTAGTGTAGTGTATAGTAGTGTAGTGTATAGTGCATAGTAGTGTTGTGTATAGTGTATAGTCGTGGAGTGTATAGTGTATAGTTGTGTAGTGGATAGTGGATAGTAGTGTTGTGTATAGTGTATAGTCGTGGAGTGTATAGTGTCTAGTAGTGTAGTGGATAGTGTATAGTAGTGTTGAGTATAGTGTATAGTAGTGGAGTTTATAGTGTATAGTAGTGTAGTGTATAGTAGTGTAGTGTATAGTTGTGTAGTGGATAGTGGATAGTAGTGTAGTGTATAGTAGTGGAGTGTACAATGTAAATTTTTACTAAAGTTCCCCCAACGATCCGATGGACCCATCGGAATCTAAAAATGCGGAAACTGATTTGGGTTTTTTTTTCTTCAGAAAACCAGAAATGTTGAACAGCCCAAGAAAAGAATGTTTACAATTCTTCACGGCCTTTCGCTGGAGATGACATTCATAATCATCACCATGACCACCATCACCACCACCACCATCATCATTACCAACATCATCAACATCATCATCACCATCATCATCACCATCATCATCACTATCATCACCATCATTTTAATTCTCATCACCATCACCAACATCACCATGACTATCATCATCATCATCACCATTATCACCATTACCAACATTATCACCGCTACGATCATTACCATCATCATCATCACTATCACCAACATTATCACCATCATCACCATCATCATCACCATCACCAACAGTATCACCATCATCACCAACATCATCACCAATATCATCACCATCACCAACATTATCACCATCATCACCAACATCATCACCAATATCATCACCATCACAACCATCATCACCAACATCATCATCACCACCATCACCATTAATCATCACCATCATCATCACTACCAGCATCATCATCATCACCATCACCAATATCATCACCATAATTATCACCAACATCATTTATCACCATCATCACTATCACCTACATCATCATCATCATCACCATCATCATCACCATTATCACCATAGCCATCACCATCATCACTATCATCACCATCATCACTATCATCACCACCATCATCATCACTGCCACCATCATCACCATTATCATCACCAACATCATCATCACCGCCACCATCATCACCATCGTCATCACCACCATCACCAGTACGAGCGAACCTTCCCAAATCGGACGCTTAAAAACATGAACATCTCATGGTGACTCGTTCGTAAGTGCAAGATGTTCGTAGGTGCAAGCTGTTCGTAAGTGCAAGCTGTTCGTAAGTGCAAGCTGTTCGTAAGTGCAAGATGCTCGTAAGTGCAAGCTGCTCTTAAGTGCAAGCTGTTCGTAAGTGCAAGCTGTTCGTAAGTGCAAGCTGCTCTTAAGTGCAAGCTGTTCGTAAGTGCAAGTTGTTCGTAAGTGCAAGCTGTTTGTAAGTGCAAGCTGTTCGTAAGTGCAAGCTGTTCGTAAGTGCAAGCTGCTCTTAAGTGCAAGCTGTTCGTAAATACAAGCTGTTCGTAAGTGCAAGCTGTTCGTAAGTGCAAGCTGTTCGTAAGTGCAAGCTGTTCGTAAGTGCAAGCTGTTCGTAAGTGCAAGCTGTTCGTAAGTGCAAGCTGCTCTTAAGTGCAAGCTGTTCGTAAGTGCAAGCTGTTCGTAAGTGCAAGCTGTTCGTAAGTGCAAGCTGTTCGTAAGTGCAAGCTGTTCGTAAGTGCAAGCTGCTCTTAAGTGCAAGCTGTTCGTAAGTGCAAGCTGTTCGTAAGTGCAAGCTGTTCGTAAGTGCAAGCTGTTCGTAAGTGCAAGCTGTTCGTAAGTGCAAGCTGCTCTTAAGTGCAAGCTGTTCGTAAGTGCAAGCTGTTCGTAAGTGCAAGCTGTTCGTAAGTGTAAGCTGTTCGTAAGTGCAAGCTGTTCGTAAGTGTAAGCTGCTCTTAAGTGCAAGCTGCTCGTAAGTTGACACCTTAGCATCTGGGGGACTGCCTGCATTAGGAACACAATTGGTGGCGGAACGTTACATCCTTTGCCCGGTATGGAGGATGACTTTTGGGTTCAATCTTGACCCCCCCCCACCCCACGCATATTTGAAGTCTGCGTGCCTCTCTCCCCGCGGTCCCCTGGATTTTTCTCCTGGTGCTCCGTTTTTTATTTTGTTTGTTTGGCCTCCACATTTAGATTGCTCGGCTTGCTGTACACTGCCGCGTGAGGAGCCACTTCGTTGAGCTGTCGTTTGTTGGTAGCCAGGTTGCTTCATTGGGGACTTTACCCGGTCAAAATGGATCAAAATTGGTTTAGAAATTAGTCCCAGTGGGATTGCTCCGCCGCCTCCTCCGGGGAGAAAGAAAATCCACGGTTTGCGAGGTTTATGGTTAGAAATAATCACGTATCACGGCGGGTTAGTTCGTAAGTACGAGACGTTCGTAAGAGGGAAATGTTGGTAAGTGTGAGACGTTCGTAGATGGGGGAGACGTTCGTAAGTGCAAGACGTTCGTAAGTACAAGACGTACATAAGTGTGAGACGTTTGCAAGTACGAAACGTTGTAAAGTACGAGACGTTCGTAAGTGAAGTATGGAACCTTCGTAAGCGCGAGACGTTCGTAAGTGAAGTATGGAACCTTCGTAAGTGCGAGACGTTCGTAAGTGAAGTATGGAACCTTCGTGAGCGCGAGACGTTCGTAAGTGAAGTATGGAACCTTCGTAAGTGCGAGACGTTCGTAGGTGAAGTATGGAACCTTCGTAAGCGCGAGACGTTCGTAAGTGAAGTATGGAACCTTCGCAAGTGCGAGACGTTCGTAAGTGAAGTATGGAACCTTCGCAAGTGCGAGACGTTCGTAAGTGAAGTATGGAACCTTCGTGAGCGCGAGACGTTCGTAAGTGAAGTATGGAACCTTCGTAAGTGCGAGACGTTCGTAAGTGAAGTATGGAACCTTCGTAAGTGCGAGACGTTCGTAAGTGAAGTATGGAACCTTCGTAAGCGCGAGACGTTCGTAAGTGAAGTATGGAACCTTCGTGAGCGTGAGACGTTCGTAGGTGAAGTATGGAACCTTCGTAAGCGCGAGACGTTCGTAAGTGAAGTATGGAACCTTCGTAAGCGCGAGACGTTCGTAAGTGAAGTATGGAACCTTCGTAAGCGTGAGACGTTCGTAGGTGAAGTATGGAACCTTCGTAAGCGTGAGACGTTCGTAGGTGAAGTATGGAACCTTCGTAAGCGCGAGACGTTCGTAAGTGAAGTATGGAACCTTCGTAAGTGCGAGACGTTCGTAAGTGAAGTATGGAACCTTCGTGAGCGCGAGACGTTCGTAAGTGAAGTATGGAACCTTCGTAAGTGCGAGACGTTCGTAGGTGAAGTATGGAACCTTCGTAAGCGCGAGACGTTCGTAAGTGAAGTATGGAACCTTCGTAAGCGCGAGACGTTCGTAAGTGAAGTATGGAACCTTCGTAAGTGCGAGACGTTCGTAAGTGAAGTATGGAACCTTCGTAAGTGCGAGACGTTCGTAAGTGAAGTATGGAACCTTCGTAAGCGCGAGACGTTCGTAAGTGAAGTATGGAACCTTCGTGAGCGTGAGACGTTCGTAGGTGAAGTATGGAACCTTCGCAAGTGCGAGACGTTCGTAAGTGAAGTATGGAACCTTCGTAAGTGCGAGACGTTCGTAAGTGAAGTATGGAACCTTCGTGAGCGTGAGACGTTCGTAGGTGAAGTATGGAACCTTCGTAAGCGCGAGACGTTCGTAAGTGAAGTATGGAACCTTCGCAAGTGCGAGACGTTCGTAAGTACGAAACGTTCGCAAGCGCGAGACGTTCGTATCTCGCGGAACCGCCTGAACTAATTCTCGACTTCGATGATGTCCCCCTCCCCATCCCTCCTCACCTTACGCGCCCTGTGCTCGTCCTCGACCGAGCTCAGCTCGTGGCCCCCGTGGCCGTCGCCCCCCGCGGCGTCGCCGTCGCCGCCGCCGCCGCCCCCCGCGACGCACGCGACGCACACGAGGCTCCCGTCGCTGCGGCAGAAGAGGTCGAGACGCCTGCCGTGAGCCGCGCACCTCCGCTCCTCGAGGCGCGCGCCCGGCGCCACGAGCACGTGGTCGGCGAACCGCGGGTTGGCCAGGTGCGGCCTCAGGTGCTCGGCGCAGAACGACGCCTCGCACTTGAGGCACGTCTTGACGGCCGCCGAGACGCCGCCGCCGCCGCCGTCTTCGGCGCCCGGGCAGCTGTCGCACGGCGGGGCCGCGGAAGACATCGGTGTGTCTGGGTGTCTACGTGTGTGTGTGTCTGGGTGTCTGTGTGTTTGTGTGTGTTTGTGTGTGTGTTTGTGTGTGTGTCTGTCTGTGTGTCTGGGTGTCTGTGTGTATCTGTCTGTGTGTGTGTCTGGGTGTGTGTGTGTCTGTGTGTGTGCGGGTATCTGTCTGTGTGTGTATCTGTGTGTGTGTGTCTGTGTGTCTGTGTGCGGTTGCGTGTGTATCTGTGTCTGTGTGTGTGTCTGTGTGTGTGCGGGTATCTGTCTGTGTGCGTGTGTCTGTGTGTGTGTATCTGTGTGTCTGTGTGCGGTTGTGTGTGTATCTGTGTGTCTGTGTGCAGTTGTGTGTGTATCTGTCTGTGTGTGTGGCTGGGTGTCTGTGCGTATCTGTCTATGTGTATTTGTCTGTGTGTGTCTGTGTGTCTGTGTGCGGTTGTGTGTGTGTGTCTGTGTGTGTGTGTCTGTGTTTCTGAGTGTGTGTGTATCTGTCTGTGTGTATCTGTCTGTGTATGTGTCTGTGTATCTGTCTGTGTGTGTGTCTGTGTGCGTGTCTGTGTGTGTCTTTGTGTGTGTGGCTGTATTTGTCTGTCTCGGTGCGTATGACACTTAAGGGTTATAGAAGCCAACAGAAGATGAAGACGACGATGAGGAGTCGCAGGAGGAAGAGGAGGGGGAGAGATAGTGAGACGTGAACGAATCACGCGAGACCTTTGGAAGGAAACACAAAATACGGGAGAGGTTTTTTGGTTGTTTGCTTGTCCAGCAGCAGTGAGAAGTTACAGGCCGACAAAAAGCGACAGCACCAGCAGCAGCGACCACCGCCACAACTATAACAGTGACTCCGTCTCTTGTCGCTGCGACGGTTGATGCTGCTCACGGAGCGAATGGCCAAGGAGGTGGCCAAGGAAGCAAAGTTCGACGCGGAAATGAGCCGAGGTCAGAGAGGGTGTCAAGATAACGTCAGGGCGTGCTCTATTTTGTTGCTGTTGTTGCTCTAAGTACATTACCATGGCGAAATTTGGAATGCGGTCACGCCGGCTTGGACCAACACATTCTATGCGTTTTGTCGAAAATACTGGCTAACAGATTCGAAATATATAACACTATACACTACACTATACTACAAACTACACTATACACTACACTATACACTACACTATAAACTACACTACTATATACTACACTATACACTCTACTACAAACTACACTATACACTACACTATACACTACACTACACTATACACGACACTATACACTACACTCTACTACAAACTACACAATACACTACACTATACACTCTACTACAAACTACACCATACACTACACGGATATACAATAGACTACTATACACTACACGACTATACACTACACTACTATACCTAACACTATACACTACACTATACACTACAGTACTATACCCTACACTACTATACACTACACGACTACACACTACACTATACACTACACTACAACACACTAGACATTGGGCTCTATGGAGGCCTGTCGTTAAGCGATTCGTCGTTCACATTGGTGCGCATTAACAAGTAGGCTTTGGATTGGAACGCATTAAAATAAACGTGTCATTAAACCCGCCACCAGCAGACACAGCGAATGGTGACAAACCTTACTGATTAGCTGTGTCGGGTGGTTGGCTGGTTTAACGACACATTAATATTTACTAACACAAAACAAACCAAAAAACCTCTGTCATGGAAAATATATGTTGAACTTCTTTCTCACCGTACATAGCCAGCCGTGCTAATCGGAGGTACGTTGCCACCAAACTTGACACAATACACAAACACACTATATATACTACACTATTCTGTGTACGCAACATTATACACTACGATACATTACACTACACGCTACATTACTATATACTACACTATACATCACACTCCTATACACTGTACTACGCACTACTATACACTAATATACACTACACACTACTATTCACCACACTACTATACACTCCACTATACACCACACTACCATACACTATAATACACACTACACAACACAATGTATGTTGAACTTCTATTGCCAACCACGCTAATCGGCGGTGCGAGGGAAGGACAACAAACCAAACACGACAACAAAAACAACGAGCAGCAGCCGCAGTTATTAAAGAAATTAGTTCGTCAATCTAGATGATGATGATTTAATGGTGCACAGCTCCGGCGGTGTCCTGATATCGGAAGGAATAGAGCGTTCCAGACGGCCGCGGTGATGCGTGTGCAGTGACAGTGTGCCATCTGTTGACCGGGAAAGATAGCCACGACTATGGGTGCGCTAAATAATAGCAAACCATAAGGGGTAGTGTGACAAGGCCAAAGGTCAGAGGCCGGGATCAGTCAGGAAGCTCCGGGAACCTGCTCGAAGGTTCTAGAAAGGGGGTGGGGGTGGGCGTGGCCGGAGGCGGGGCTTGGCCACGCCGAGGAGTATATAAGGGGGGCGTGATCAGAGGTTCGGGGCTGTCGTTGCGGGGGTTTTGGGTCCTGGATTCCGTCATCTTTTCTCCGTCGTCTTTTCTCCGTCGTCGTTTCTCAGTCGTCTGAAGCACGTGGCCGATCCGCTGTGCGGCTCCCATCGTCGTCGTCGTTGTATCGGTCATCGAGCTGTATGCTTAGACGCCGGCGATGGGGCTGTGCGAGTGGGCCAGCAGTACGTGGCCCAGTACATGTACGTCGCTCGGTGACTCGCGGCTGTGAAGAGTGAGAAATTAAACAAGGAGCCCTCTTAAGCGTCGTGTCTCGGAAGTCACTCACTGCACGCGCATCGGGAATGCGTTCCTTAAAAAGGTGCATGGGGCGACAGGGACTATTGAATGTGGCTCGAAGCGATTCACAGGGCTAGTAGGAGTAGCCGGTTGTGGGAGCAGAGTCTGAGAGGCGACGGATGACGAGAAATTACGGGCGATGCCGTCAGTGTGCGGAGGTTTGAGGCGACGCAAATCGGATGGCGTTCGTGTTATCAATAAGGCAGACGGCGCGTTTGTGAAACGAGACGCGCGTTCATTCGGTACAATGACATATGGATTCATTTTTTTGTTCCATTATCCATAATAGAGGGTTGTTTTTTGGGTTAGAGCCCGTAAATTTATAAATGTTGCATCGTTAAAACCCGCCACCACCCGACACAGACAACTAGTAAGGGTTGTGTCACGTAAACAGAACGTGCCTATAGTAGTGTAGTGTATAGTAGTGTAGTGTATAGTAGTGTAGTGTATAGTAGTGTAGTGTATAATAGTGTATAGTAGTGTAGTGTATAGTAGTGTATAGTAGTGTAGTGTATAGTAGTGTAGTGTATAGTGTAGTTGATAGTTTAGTGTATAGTGTAGTGTATAGTAGTGTAGTGTATAGTAGTGTAGTGTATAGTAGTGTAGTGTATAGTAGCGTCGTGTATAGTGTATTATACTACTACAGCACACCGGCGTGTTGGAGAGCCAAGCCACAACATTTACAATAATGTATTCATTCCGTTGCAGATTCATTTCATTCCAGCATAGCCACAGCCACCCCATGCACATGTAGTGACATAGAATTGGACACGTAGCAGCATAGCACTGGCTGCAGCCCTGACAGACAGCAGGCCACGTGATAGACCAGAGAGGGATCTAGGGGAAAGGTCACGGAAGGGGCACATCGAGAACCCCGCTGGTAGGTTCCAGAAAGGGGGCGTGGTCGGGGGCGGAGCCAGGCCACGCTGACGGTATAAGAGGGGCCCCCGAGAGGGGACCTCGGGGCTGTCGTGTGGAGTGGGATCCCCGGCGTGCTGCTACTGCAGGCTTCACCATCTCGGCGTCGCCAGTCAGGCAGTCTACCGGCTGTCCTGACTGGGAACTGTGGTTACCAAGTGTTAGCTGTTAGGCCGTGTTAATAAACAGAGTTGCCCTCCTACTCTTAGCGTCTCTTAGTCAGTCACTACATTTGGTGTCAGAAGTGGGGTTAACTGTCAGGCCGTGTTAATAAACAGAGTTGCCCTCTGATTCTTAGTGTCTCTGAGTCAGTCACTACATTTGGTGTCAGAAGTGGCGTTAACTGTCAGGCCGTGTTAATAAACAGAGTTGCCCTCTGACTCTTAGTTTCTCTGAGTCAGTCACTACATTTGGTGTCAGAAGTGGGGTTAACTGTCAGGCCGTGTTAATAAACAGAGTTGCCCTCTGACTCTTAGTGTCTCTGAGTCAGTCACTACACGTAGATGGGCATTGAAATTAATTAAATGTATTCAATCATTCCGACTCGGATTCATTTAGCCTCAGGGTAGCCACCACCCAACCCATGCATAGGCGCCGTCCAAAAATGACGTCACACGATTTTAGACGATTTTTGCTCCCCCCCCCCTCCATCGTCACACAGCGTCACAAAAAGTCAGACCCCCCCCTCAAATATGACGTCACAAAGCTCTGCCCCCCCCCCCCCCGCAAAAAAAAACACGCTTCAAATCGCTTTAAACTATTGTCATTGTAGTTGCGTATTTAATGTGCCGCTGCACTCTGATGTTGAAGGAGAAAACATTTATTAAAAAGTCTATTTAATTAAGTAGAACGTGTTGTCCATATTTATTTAAAGTTGCGCATTTTGATGTGACGTCACAATTCTCAAACCCCCCCCCCTCGTCACACATCGTCACAAATGTCTGACCCCCCCCCCCCCAATAGGTGCGTGACGTCATTTATGGACGGCCCCATAGATGTGCATTACAAATTTTAATTATTTATATTTTATTACGTCACAAATTAATTTCGTCCAGAGTAACCACAACCAACCCATCGATGTCAGAGTCGCAACATTAACATAATTTATTCATTCTGTCTTGTGATCATTGTCCCAAAGTAACCACAACCAACCCATCCATATAAGGGTCGTGGCATTAACATAATTTATTAGAGTAATTTTATTAACATAATATATTAATTTATTCTCCTTTCTGTCGCCACTTCATTTCCTCCCCAGCGCAGCCACGCGTGCCAAACGAACGCCAAAGACAAAGGTGCCCCGTACAGCCTTTGACAGATGCTGGGGGCAAGTGCTGTTAGTAGCGAGGAACCAGCAGCAACCACACATCACCCACAAACTCAAACGCAAGACGGAATCAGCTCTTACGACTCTGATCGTCTGATTAGCAACGGCACGATGGGTTGTTCCATATTCTGGGAGCTGCGTCGTGCCAAAAACCACATCGCTCACCCACTCACTCACTCACCCATCCACTCACCCAACCACTCACCCACTCACCCACTCACTCACCCACTCAACCACCCACTCACCCAACCACTCACCCACTCACTCACCCAACCACTCACCCAACCACTCACCCATCCATTCACCCAACCACTCACCCTAACCACTCACCCACTCACTCAACCACCCACTCACCTAACCACTCATCCACTCACTCAACCACCCACTCACTCAGCCACCCACTGAACCCACCCACGCATTAACTCACCCACCCAGCCACTCACTCACCCACTAACTCACCCACCCAATCACCCACTCACCAACCCAATAACTCACCCACTCACTCTCCCACTCACTCGCCCACTCACCCGCCCACTCACCCTTCACGAGCCTCCTCCACAGAGGGCGCTCTTGACACCGCTGGTACCAGTAATCTGGGACGGGTGACTATAAACAATCTATAAACTATTATTTGGTTCTTTCGGTAAAGTCACGTAGATAGAAAAATAATAATAATAAATAAGTTGAATAAGAATTTTAAAAAATGCAGTCTACATTGGTGTTTCTTTTTTTATTTAAAAAAATTGCTATCGACTTGACTTTACCGATAGAACCAAAGAATATGAATTCCTGCAGTCACGAAAGTTTTAAGTTTAAAATGTAAACTATTTACTAAGCTACTATTATTATGTTACCAGGTGAGAACCCGTTGAGCTACGTGGCTCTTTTTCAAAAGCCACCTGGCCACGAATGAGAGCTCAACGCAGTGGCTGACATCGTCATCATCACCGTTGTGGAAACTTACAGCGGCAGACAAAGACTCTGAACGCGTGGTGACGTTGATTGTAAGTGTGGAGGGGAAAACCGGGAGGACCCGGAGAACAATTCCACGCGATCACGGGAAGAGAGACGCAGACTCTAAATATACCGCAGTAGTTGTCGTCAGGGTCTGTATTGAAACTACGACCTCCTGTATACCAGGCGAGGTAGTTAACATCTCACCACCGTGGTGATGATGATGAGAGAGACACTCACAGACTCCACATCCACAACGGGCATCGTCAAGGTCGGGGAACGAACCTGCGATCTCTTGTATACCAGGCGAGGGAGTTAACATTCGGGCAAGCTCCACATCCTCTCTCTCACAAAAGGAAATCCGCGTCACCGCCTGCCGCTAGAGGCTCGCAGCGGAGCGATAAGAATCAGCAGCGATCGTTAAACCGAAACTCAAGGACAGGGAAGTCTTCAGACCCGCGCGAACGGGAAGCAAGGAGCTTGGTGGCCTCGGGGGAGTTGTTAAGAGACACACCGAGGCTGTGTCTGTGTGTCTGTGTCTGTCTGAGGCTGCCTCTGTGTCTGTCTGAGGCTGTCTCTGTGTCTGTCTGGACCAGGCTGATCGTGGTGAAGACGGTGAGTCGTCATCCAAGTGACACAGGTGAGACGCGGATGTTTGTGTCTGTGTATGTATGTGTGTGTATGTGTGTGTCTGTGTGTGTGTTTCTGCGTGTGTATCTGTGTGGGTGTGTATCTGTGTATGTGTCTGTGTATCTGCGTGTCTGTTATATCTGTGTATCTCTCTTAGTCTGTGTGTATCTATGTGTGTGTCTTTGTGTATCTGTGTGTTTGGCTGTGTATCTGTGTGTCTGTGTGCGTGTCTGTGTGTGTGTGTATCTGCGTGTGTTTCTGTGTGTGTCTGTGTGTGTGTGTCTGTGTATGTGTGTGTCTGTATATGTGTGTGTCTGTGTATATGTATGTGTGCCTATGTATGTGTGTATCTGTGTATGTCTTTGTATGTGTGTATCTGTGTGTGTTTCTGTTTGTGTATCTGTGTGTCTGTGTATGTGTACGTGTGTACGTGTCTGTGTGTGGGGGGGGGGCACAGGTGGTGCATCAGCCAGTCATCTCGGTCATCTCAGTCAGTCGACCCGTGTTACCTTCTGGGTCTGCCCCGTGACCTCCTGCCAGCGGGCGTTTGACACTTCACGTAGCCTCAAGGTGCACATAGCCTGCCACAAGCGTCGTGGTGACGTCACCACCACATTGTGACGTCACCGCCACTCAATGGCGAATGGCGGTTGTTGTTATTGTTGTTTTTGTGTGTGTCTGTGTGTCTATGTGTGTGTGTCTGTGTATCTATGTGTGTGTCTGTGTATCTGAGTGTGTGTGTATCTGTGTGTGTCTTTGTGTCTGTGCGTATCTGAGTGTGTCTGTGTATCTCAATGTGTGTTTCAGGAGCTTCATCAATGTGCACCTAGCCTGGCACTGCCCAGTGGCATCCTTTACGAGCCTCCTCTACAGAGGGCGCTCCTGGTACCAGTACTCCGAGAGGGGTAACTTTAATCAATCTACATATTTTTTTATTTTATTGTTTCCCTTCTACGTGACTTTACCGAAAGAACCAAGAATATGAATCCCTGCAGTCACGAAAGCTTTAAATCAAAATCGATATTCTATTTACAAAGCTTTATTTTATACCAGGTAGGAACCCGCTGAGCTAAGTAGCTCTTTTTCAAAAGCCACCTGGCCACGAATGGGAGCTCAACGCAGTGGCTGACATCGCCATCATCATCGTTGCGGAAACTTATAGTGGAAGACAAAGACTCCCACGCGATCACGGGAAGAGAAACGCAGACTCCATTTTTACAGCAGCAGGCATTGTCAGGGTCCGTATGGAACCTACTACCTCCTGTATACCAGGCGAGGGAGTTAACATCTCCTGGCCATCGTGATGATGATGTTAATGAGAGAGAGAGAGAGATGCAGATTCCAACTATACACCTGCAGGCATCATCAGGGTAGGGATGGAACCCACGTCCTCCTGCGTACCAGGCGAGGTAGTCAACATCTCGTCACAACAGACCGCACGAGAGGGAGCATCACGAGAGAGGCTCTCCAGGCGGCATTTTTGGGTCTCCTCTTCCACGCTGCGCCAACGACGTTGTAAGAGGAGTGGGTAGCCAAACCTCACACCACCATGCAGGGGCCAAGATGTGGAATGCAGCTTGACTGGTTTTAGCAACACTGCGCTGCCGAGCAAACACCGTGCCATCTCTCCCTCTCTCTCACTCTCGTGTGATTGTGTGACTACGCATCTCCTCGATCGCTGCTTTCTGTTTTCAGGGCCACCGACGATGCCGATCAGTAACCACTTCGCTCGTTCTTTCAGCTCTCTCTTCAGTCGGCGCCGCTTAAGCGACCGCCACGGGGAATGTCCCAGAGCGGCTTGGCGCAACCGACAGCGAAGAAGTCGCAGCGCAGGGGAAGGAAAATCACTGACGGCGGGCGGAGGGGCCTAAAAAATGAATCTTCCATCGTGTTTCATCGCCTTTCAATCGTTCGCGACGCTGGTGAGTGAACTTACGCCACAGAAGAGTTTCAGGACAGAGCAGTTTATTTAGAGTTGCCCTGTGAGCTAAGAAGCTCTTGAATGGGGTTGCATCCACAAAAGAACCAAACTGTAAAATTAAAAACACAACGATAGCAACAGGTCTCATAAAAATTGTAACTACAATAAATACATCATTAGACCACCTTTGCCAGTACCAAAATATAATAAAAGGGTTTTCCCCCTTTTTTTCTGGCAACGCAACTGAAACATTTTTACAAGGAATAATGTCTTCATTAACCACAATACGTGTGGTCAAAATCAACTTTGATAGTGGCATTCTCATTGAGCTGTACGCCTTTTGGCGTCCTCTGGTCTAGCACCAATTGAGACGAGGTTCAAAAGAAAGCCGTCTCTGGTGTGGACCAATCAGTTTCAAGGACAATGCATCATATTATATTGTGATTAATGCAGTAATATGATTCCTTGTAAAAAAGGTTTTTAGTTTTGTTGCCAGAAAAAAGGGGAAAACTCCTATTATTATACAATAAATACAGCAATGAAAAAAGTCCAATTTGTTTTTACCTAATTATTAATTATCTTTCTACTAAAGCGAACATTAATATTAGACAAACATATTTCAAAATAGTGCATCTAGAGTGAGGATTAAGATTCGATAAAATATTGCAAAACGAGGAATAGAAACGCAAACCAGAGGACGCCTGGTGTTGTCTGGGACTGTTAGAATTGTCTTGGTGTGGTCTGGGACTGTTGTTGTTGTCTTGGTGTGGTCTAGGACTTTTGTTGTTGTCTTGGTGTTGTCTGGGACTGTTAGAATTGTCTTGGTGTGGTCTGGGACTGTTGTTGTCTTGGTGTGGTCTGGGACTGTTGTTGTTGTTGTCTTGGTGTGGTCTGGGACTGTTGTTGTTGTCTTGGTGTGGTCTGAGACTGTTGTTGTGTTGCCTTGCCCTAAGCTTGCATTAAACGTTGATAAACCGCCAAGAATTTATGTCCAGGAGACTCTCGTGAATTGTCCCCAGATGCTTATGTAAAAAAAAAACAAATTTAGGGCTATAAATTGTTTTTAAGTTTTTCGGCCACGGCAAAGTTTTCAAAGATTAAAACTCAACAATTGAATAATCGGATAAATCGCTCACATTGATGCACATCTGATGACGATTTCAAATATTATCACTGTGCATGCTCAGTGATAATATCACTTTCCCGGCACCCGCCTAGCAGAAGATTCAGGCCACTATGTCGATGATAGCAGAGCCACAGCCAATCAACATCAACCAAACTCAGCCCCACGAATTGGATGATAGCAGAGCCACAGCCAATCAACATCAACCAAACTCTGCCCCCCCTGTGTATAAAGATATTACAACTACTGTACTATAGAGGTGATCACGTGGATTTTGGATTAACCGGAGCAACCCATTTCTTCAGGATTAAGCAGCTTGTGACCTGTAAATAAACATTTCCAACATATCAAAGTGTATAACTGTTTTTAGATTACACATTTGGGCTGAAGGAAAAAATCCACGAGCTATTAATTTGTCAAACTCGCGTAGAACTGCATGCGGATAACCGAGAGCTTAAATACTTTAATTTATATTTATAAATCCACGTCGAGTAGCATGCTTACCTTTTTCACTACTTTGCATTTCTATCGGTGTGTGTGTTGTGAGTGTATTGTGTGTATTGTATGTGTATTGGGAGTGTATTGTGTGTGTTATGAGTGTTTTTTGTGTGTGTTGTAAGTGTTGTTGTTACTTGCTGAGCAACGTGCCACACTGCTGGACTTCTGTGACAAAGCGCTTCATAGATTATCACATTCCTCACTCCCTCGACAGGGCAATCGCTTTTTGCTGCACTTGCCTATAAGCTTCCCCACCCCCTCGTTCCCCAAACTGCACTGGAACAAAGTGATTGATGTACGTGGTTGACCTAAAGGCCACGTCCGTACCTGTGCCGCTCGCTTAAGATGGGCCCTATTTGGTAAATAAAAACAAGTTTTAGTTTAGTCTATGGGCTTCTATATGACTCTACGGGTATAGATGTATCACTGCGGGTCTCTGTTTGCCTCTGTGTGTCAATGTACCTCTGTGGGTCTCTATGTATCTATATGGGTCTCTATGTATCTCTCTGGGTCTCTGTTTGCCTCTGTGTCTATTTGCCTTTGTGAGTCACTTTGTGCATCTATGGGTCTCTTTGTGCCTGTGTGGTCTCTATATTTCTCTATGGATTTCTGTGTGTCTCCATGGGTCTCTATCTAAACAAACATCGCAGCTCAGTGTGGCCTTACACTTTGTAAAACATATCTAAGTGTAGTTTGTTGTATCTATTTACATGGGGTTCTTTATTTGGCTTACAGCTACAAGAAAGTGTTTGTGATGAACATGCTGTGAGCGAGTGCCATGGTCTGGTATGCAGGCGGTCGTGAGGTTTCCCTGTCGCCTGCTGTTTATTTGGAGTCTGCGTCTCTCTCTCTCTCTCCCTGTGGTAGCGTGGATTTTGTCTCCAGGTCCTCTGGTTTTTCCCTTCACGTTTATAATCAACGGCACCACGCATTTAGATTATTTGGCTGTTGCTGTAAATTTTCACGTGGTGATGATGATGATATCAGCCCAGTTGGTTGATCTGCTATCATCATTTGTGATGGCCAGGGTCGCTTCTCAACAAAAGAGCTACTATACAGCACCTGGTGGAATACAACATAGTTTAGTTTTAGAATGGATCTCGATCTATCTCTGTGGGTCTCTATGTTCCTTTGTGGGTCTCTATGTGTCTCTGTGGGTCTCTATGTGTCTCTGTGGGTCTCTATGTATCTCTGTGGGTCTCTATGTATCACCTTGGGACTCTATGTATCTCTGTGGGTCTCTATGTACCTCTGTGGGTCTCTATGTATCTTTGTGGGTCTCTATCTTCCTTTGTGGGTCTCTATGTGTCTCTGAGGGTCTCTATGTTTCCCCTTGGGTCTCTATGTATCTTTGTAGGTCTCTATGTTCCTTTGTGGGTCTCTATGTGTCTCTGTGGGTCTCTATGTATCTCTGTAGGTCTCTATGTATCTTTGTGGGTCTCTATGTATCTCTGTGGGTCTCTATGTATCCCCTTGGGTCTCTATAGGCCTCTATGCGACTACATTATTGGGCTGCCGCTATGAATGTCCACTCGGTGATGATATCAGCCCACTTGGTTGAGCTGGTATTATTGGGTGTGGTAGCCAGGGGTCGCTTCTGAACAAACTTAGCAGCTCAGTCGTGGGGGCCTTACATATTGTTAAACAAATAAATATTTCAGTTTAGTCTATGAGCCTCTAAGTATCTCTATAGGTCTCTATTAGTCTCTCTATGGATTTACCAATTCCTCATTTACCATTGTGCATTTTTGTTCCTCATTTTTTTACTTTGGTATTTAAAGTGGATGCAGTTTTAGTTTAAATTGCGTATTTTGAGAACGTGTTTATTGACGCGTGTTCAGTGATTTTTCGACGTTTCCTTTGCTCTGCAGATACTTACCTCTAAAAGTGCGACGATCAGCAATGTTCTACGAGAGGTACGGTGCAAACAAAAATGTGTGGCCACCAGGAATATTGTAGGGCTCATTCATTGCTCCCCAGCATCTTGAAGCTCCCTGGATCACTTTTCAAGCGGGATGATTCACGTGAACATTACGTCCAGCTCAGCACTGACACCCATTCACATCCACCCAACTGTGTACGGCGACTTTTGACATGGAATGGGAATACCAGTACCCGCCATTAGCCACGACATGACGGTGACATCACCACAGCGCCTGTGCCAGACCAGGTACACTTTTAGTCCACGTGAAGTGTCGAAGGCTCACTGCTGACAGGAGGCCTCAGGAGAGACCCAGCAGGTGCCATGGGTTGGCTGAATGAGATGACTTGTAGATACACCACTAGCTGTACCCCCTACTGTGCCAACTCGCAGCGTTTTATCCACCCGGCGCTCCGCTCGTTGTTGTAAGTGTTGCTCCTGTGCCCTCGGTTATAGCGCATACTTAAACACACGCACACACACAGACATATACTGCCTTCAAAAAAGAATCCCCCATTTGAGGTTGGGTCGACCTTGGGGAACCCCTCAGCACCCGGGTTGCAAATCCTTATCCTGTAACTCGATGGCAGAATGGATCACGTGAAGCTGAGCGTGCGCAGTGTGGCTGGGAGTTTTGCGGTTTGTCCCCACCCAAAGCGGCCCTTGTTGGCAGACAAATTCACGGTGGGCGAGGACGCTGAGCATTGGGGCATCTCTGTGGTGGCTAGGGAAATGTTGACTACCTCACCGGGTATGCAGGAGGGGGTGGGTTCCAACCCGACCCTGATGACACCTGCTGCTGCTGTGTATTTGCGGTCTGCATCTCTCTCTCATCAGCATCATCATGGTGGTTAGGAGATGTTACTTACCTTGCCGGGTATGCAGGAGGCCGTGGGTTTGATCCTGACCCTGACATCACAGTGGCTATGAGATGTTAACTACCTTGCCGGGTATGCAGGAGGTCGTGGGTTCAATACCGACCCTGACATCACGGTGGCTATGAGATGTTAACTTTCTCAACTGATCCTAGGCCCTGCTGCTCTATCTTTGAAATCTGCGTCTCTCTCCCCGTAGTCGCGTGGATGTTTTTTTCCGGGGTCCTCCGGTTTTTCTCTCCCAAATTTAGAATCAACATCACCACGCGTTCAGAGACTTTGTTTGCTGTAATACATTCCTACGTGATGATGAAATAAACGACTTGGTTGAGCTGTTATTTGTGATGGCGATGGTCGCTTCCAAACAAAAGAGCTACACAGCTCAGTTGGGCCTTTAATCTTGGTAACATAAAATAGTTTAGTTTATGGGTCAGTTTGTATCTGTGTGTCTCAGTGCACTTCTATGGGTCTCTGTGGGTCTCTATGTTTCTCTTTTTGACCCTGTTGGTCTCTACGTATTTCTATATGTCTCTATCGATCTTTATTTGTTTCCATGGGTCTCTGTGTCTCTGTTTTACTGCAATTATCTCTATGGGTCTGTATGGGTCTCTATGTGTCTCTATGCGCATCTGTGTGTTTAGAGCAGGGGTGTCCAAACTTTTTTTCCCGAGGGCCACATACAGAAAAATATACGAAGGACTGGGCCACTCACTAGAGGTGGGTCATACTGCCTCACTTCTCATGCACTAATATTGGCAAAATCAATCAAATGCAGATAAATTACGTTTGATAATTGAACATGTTTGAAGAAAAAAAGCCTCCATCATAGCTCTCCATTAGTAGATTTTCATTTTATTTTTTACAAAAAGGTTGGCAGGTCATTCTCTCAGTGACAGCCTCAGATTGGTTCTTAGGGTGCTGATCCCCCTTCATTGTCCATATGAAGGGAGAGACAGGAAGTGAAATAGGGGATGTGGATATTTCAAGCTTATTACACAAATAAATTATTGGGCTTGTTAACACATAAACTAACGTTTGTAAAAAAATTGTCATCAACTTTATTTGACTGAATTTATTAAGTAATTGGGCTTATTAACAAATGAAAACTGTGTGTATACTTTTAACTCACCTGTAATGGGAAGAATGTTGCGCTCAGTAGGAGCAGTGATGCTGCGCTTTGGTCTGGAGGATAGCTGGCAGGTCAGGAGTAAGTTTGGTGGTTGAGATGCGAAGGACGTCACGGAGATGGCTGTCGGTCGTTCTGGTTCTCAGCCTGCTTTTGTTCAGCGTTAACAGAGAGAATGTCTGCTCACAGATGTATGTTGAGCCGAACAGACTCATCATTCGTTTTGCGTGGCATCTCATCAGAGGAAACTTGGCCTTTTCCAAGCTCCGGTAGAAGTCAAGTAGGGAGAGAAGCTGATGCTGAGTCTTCAGAGAATCATCACACTGAATTTCGATCAGTTCTAATTGCAGACTCTCCTCCACTTATTTTGCATCCATTGAAAACGGAGCCGCAAATAGTGTGATTTCCTTCTCAATGACAGAAAAATCTTGGAAGCGCTGACTGAATTCTGTCATGAGAGATGTGATCACAGACACATATTCTCCCATTTTTTGCAGAGAGCTTGGCATTTGGAAATGCGCATTTGATTTTGGTCAGCATGGGGAAGTGCGCTACATTTAAGTTGCGCAGTTGTGACTCGAAGAGACGGAGCTTCGCACGGAATGCTTTCATGTGCGCATACAGCTGTGGTACCAGCTGCTCTTTGCCTTGTAGTCTCTTGTTCAGGTTGTTGAGATGATCAGTGAGATCAACTAAAAAAGCCAGGTCTCCCAACCATAAAGGATCACTGATCTTCATGGAGAGGTCTACCCTTTTCTTTGAAAAACTTGTCGATATTTGATCTCAGGGAATAAAACCGCTGCAGCACGGAGCCGCGACTGAGCCAGCGCACTTCAGAATGGTAGAGTAGGTCCCCGTATTCAGCATCGACATCAGAGAGGAACGCTTGAAATTCTCTGTGGTAAAGCCTTCGGGCCCGAATTATGATGACAGTTTTCACAACTGTGTTCATTACATCGCCAAGCTGGATTATCTTGGCACAGAGGGCTTCTTGGTGGTTGATACAGTGCATTTTGACAGCCTCACCTCCGCTCTCCCGCACCTTGGCACTCACCATAGAGGCCATTCCTTTGCGCTCGCCTGTCATTGCTGGAGCCCCATCCGTTGTAATTCCACATAGCTTGTCCCATTTAAGTCCAGCCTGGTTAATTGCATCTGACACAGCTTCAAACATGTCCTTCCCAGTTGTTGTCCCCTTTAGACTCCGAAGATCGAGCAGTTCCTCCGTAATGCAAAAATTATCATCAACTCCCCGCAAAAAAATTAACAGCTGTGCAGTGTCCGTGGCATCTGTGCTCTCATCACATGCACTCGACTAAAAATCGAAAGCACAAGCTTTATCTGACACTTGCTGTTTTAAGTTAGCCGACAAGTCTTCAATTCACCACACAACCGTATTTCTGGAAATACTAACATCGTTGAAATCCTGCATTTTCTCCGGGCACATTACTCCCACGACTTTAGTGAGGCACTTTTTGATGAAGTCACCATCTGAGAAAGGTTTCCCGTGTAGGGCAATGAGTTGAGCTACTTCTTAACTGGCTATTGTTGCATTTTCTTGAGCTTTGTAAGCACGGAAAAAAAACCTGCTGCTGCGTTAGCAGACTAGCTGCCATTTGCTTTCCCTTCTCTATCCGCTCGGCGCCAGTGTAGGACGTGAAGGTCTGATGTTTCGTTTCATAATGCCGTCGTACATTGTACTCTTTCATCACGGCAACACTCTCATTACAAAGCAAACAAACACACTTCCCCTTGGTTTCTATGAAAACATTTTCATTTTTCTACCGAGTCTGAAATTTTCTGCACTCGCTTGCAATCTTGCGTCTCTTCGGTTCCAGCATTTCTGGTGACCCTGAGCATTTTTTTTCATTCGATTGCTTTCTTTGTGGAGACGCTGCCTTGTTCAAGACAATAGCGCCACCTAGTTTTTTAAAACTAAGAAGTGCAACACAGTGGGCCACAGTCCATTATATTTTTAGACTTTGATACGGGCCAATTGAAAATGGATGGCGGGCCGCAGTTGGCCCGCGGGCCGTAGTTTGGACACCCCTGGTTTAGAGTATTGGGCTGCTGCTATAAATGTTCACACACAATGATGATGACATCAGCCACTTGGTTGAGCTTCAATCATCATTTGTGATGGTCGGGGTCGCTTCTGAACAAAAGGGCCACTACACAGCAGCTCATTTGGGCCTCATTACACCTGGTGAAGAAAAAAACTTTGGATGTTAAATGTTCCTCGTCGTGAATGTTTTTTTTTTCTCCACTTAGGTTATCAAAGACAGATGTAATGAAACAACGCACTACTTGTCAAGACGTGGCTTGTGTTGTGAGTTCTGCCAAGCAGGTAACGTGCACAGACCGAAAGGCCTGACTCAAATACCACCATTGAAAGGTTTTAATGTAGATACGTTGAACTTCTTGTAGCCAACCATAGCTAATCGGAGGTGCGTTGTTGAGTCTGTGTGCAGTGTTGAATCTAGTCTATGTGCAGCGTCTATGTTCGTTGAACTTTTTTCGCACCGCACGTAGCCAACAGTGGCTCATCAAAAGTCTGGGTGGGACAATAAACTGAGCGGCAAAAATCAAAAGTTCCAAATAAATTACTTTTCAAACGAATACTGTAGTGTACAGTGTATCGTAGTGGATGGGCAGTCCTCGGGGTTGTGAACCTAATTCGTTCCTGTGGAGTCTAGAACACAGCAAGGGGGGAAGGACAACAAACACGAAAACCTTTTTAATTTGTATTCTCGTTCAGTCGGTAAATCTGTTTCCCCCCCCCCACCCACCCCCTGCTGCCACCTTGCAGGTAGCAGGAAGGTGATGGATTGCGAATCCGACACGAGCGGCACGTTTTGTACGAGTTGCGAGCCGGGAGAAGACTTCACGGACGAACCGAACAGCTCCAACGAGTGCAAGAAGTGCACCGTTTGCAACGTGAATTGTAAGAGGGGTGGGTGGTTGTTTGTAGACACGACGTGAACCCGTTCACAAAAAGGAGGGGACGGGTTTTGAGGAATCAAGGGGTTTGCCTGATTCACGCACCGCTCACGATACAAAGTCAAATCTCGCCACTTTGGGCGCCACTGCGGTGAGGGAGATATTAACTACCTCGCCTGGTACGCAGGAGATCGTGGGTTCAATTACGACCCTGACGATGCCTGCTGCTGTATATTTAGCGTCTGTGTCTCTCTCTCTCATCAGTCTGGCTAGGGAGCACAACACGAAAAGAATGAGACTAAAATAACATAAAAAAATGAAATACTCCAAAATAAAATTGTAAGCAGTTGCAGAAAATACGTGCCAACAAGGGCACTCAATTGATTTTGATAATGTTGAAGTTGAGTGCAAAACAAGTTACTACTGGCCAAGTCTAATTCGAGAATCCATCGAAATTGAAAGACGTAAAAACATTTTTTTAGTTTTTTTCAGTTTTTTCAGTTTTTCAGTTTAATTGTTTTGGTATAGCCCTGTGAGCCATTCGGCTCTTGAATCGGGTGCAACCACAATAAACAAAAAAACACGAACAAGAAAAACATCTTAAAGTGACTTTGTATGACTGTGCAAACAGAAAATCCATGAAAAAAACAGCAAAATATTCCTGAAAAAAATGCATCGTACACCAATGCTGTGTGCAAAAAATCCCAGTGGGATGCAAGTCAAACAACAACAACAACTACAAGAAAACTTAGATTAAGGCCATCAGTCTAACTCCGTACTACAACAAAACAAACATGTCCAAACCAAAAAACGTTTTCGAAATCACCAAAAAATAAAGCCATAATTGCAACGTTACAGTGATCACAGGGACTGTGACCGAATTTTTACAATAAACTACATAAATAACATGTAACACCAAATCCTAGAGCCATAGCTAGCTGCATGAATTACTCCATAACAACAGAAGCATTTTCTTTGGTTCTTTCGGTAAAGTCACGTAGAATGAGAATAAAATAATAAATTGATAAAATATAATAACACAATAAGCATTAGTCGGAGTATCAAATTTTTCAATGCATCTTTAAGATCAGCACGCTAAATCAAAATACAGATAATACTATGCAGCGTCATCCGGAGCGAAACATTTTATTTTATTTTACGCCAATGAATAGCAGTGGCAGCTACGGGTGTACAACTCCTCTAGAGTAATAATAGGGCCTCCCCCTCCCTCCAGCAACAAAACTGAAACCCCCCTACAAGGATTCACATCTGCATCAACCACAACACCCGCAGTCAAAATGCAAACGAAAAAAACACCATGATAATATACACACTGTCCTCGAAACTGATTGGTCGGATAGCTACCGAAGCGAATCATCAAATAATACATTGTTTAATGCATGCCTATACAGGCCACCACACTTGAAAAGGGATTAACGTTGATATGGCTATTTTACTACATACAATGGACAGGAAGTACAGGATCAATGGGCTCGCATAATGCGCACGCATAATGTACGTTGACTCAGTGATTCCCCCCACCCCCGACTTCGAACAAGAAGAGTGCACAAGGGTGGTCACCACATCTACGCCTCTGTATAAGGAACGAAACAGGTGGAGGACTTCTCCACAAATCTGGCTGTCGCCTGATGAAGGTGGTTGTAATTACTGGCGAAACGTCGTACTCGGATTGTAAATGTTGTGGCTTGGCTGTCCAACACACCGGTGTGCTGTACTAGTATACTACACGATACACTACACTACTATACACAATACTACTATACACTAGTGATGTACTAGTATACTACACTATACACTACACTATACACTACTAGACTATACACTGCACTATACACTACTATACACTACACCACTATACACTACTAGACTATACACTATACTACTATACACTTCACTAACACTACACTACTATGCACGACACTATACATTACACTACTATACACTACACCACTATACACTACACTATACACTAATATACACTACACTATACACTACACTATACACTATACTAAACACTAGTGCTGTACTAGTGACGAATTGGCATGTTCTGTTTATGTGACAACCTTACTAGTTGGCTGTGTCGGATGGTGTCGAGTTTAACAACATTTATATATTTACACGATCTAACCCAAAAATGTCTGTATTATGGGCTAGGGAGATGTTAACTTCCTTGCCTGATATACAAGAGTTGCTGGGTTCGATCCCGACCCTGATGAGGCCTGCTCCTGTACATTTGGAGTTGGCGTCGCTCTCCGTGGTCGCGTGGATTTTTCTCCGGGACCTCCGGTTTTTCCCTCCATATGTACAATCATGAATCACTGTGCCGCATGACCGTGCGTTGATCCAGCGTGGCCCGCATCACTCCACGTCACCGCGCGTGATTCTGCACTGCGTGCATAGATGCTCACCAAATGTATAACCCACATACGACGGGGGTGGTGGTGTTGTTCCGCAGTCGAGAAAATCGTGAGCAGATGCACCACCAGGCAGGACACTCGCTGTCGCTGTAGAGACGGCTTCCAGAGGGCTGCCCCATCGGACCCCTGCACGGACGCGAAGGGAGACGCAGGTTCGGTCGACCGCTCGCCACACCCACGCGGCTCTAACGCGCTCACAATCGACGCTGACGGGTCGGGGAGGGTAAGGGGGAGACGCACGGGGATTGGGAGAGCTGCATGGGAAAGATGAACGATGAACGTGACGAGAAGTGTAGTGAAAAGTGTAGTGTTGAGATTAGTGTATAGTGAAGTATATAGGGTAGTGCATAGTGTAGTGTATAGTAGTGCATTCAAGTGTAGCGTATAGTGTAGTGTATAGTGGTGTAGTGTATAGTGGTGTAGTGTATAGTGGTGTAGTGTATAGTAGTGTAGTGTATAGTAGTGTAGTGTATAGTGGTGTAGTGTATAGTGGTGTAGTGTATAGTAGTGTTGGGGCTTGCAGGAGGAGGAGGGATCTGAGGAGCTATGAACCTCTTTGTTCACAGACATCCCGGTCAGGCGCACGCGGTGAGCAAGTTACAGGAACGAGCACACAAACACACCCAGACCACAACAACACAACAACAACAGTCCCAGACCACACCAAGACAACAACAACAGTCCCAGACCACACCAAGACAACAACAACAACAGTCCCAGACCACACCAAGACAACAACAATCCCAGACCACACCAAGACAACAACAACAGTCCCAGACCACACCAAGACAACAACAACAACAACAACATTCCCGGACCACACCAAGACAACAACAACAGTCCCAGACCACACCAAGACAACAACAACAACAACAGTCCCAGAGCACACCAAGACAACAACAACAGTCCCAGACCACACCAAGACAACAACAACAGTCCCAGACCACACCAAGACAACAACAACAGTCCCAGACCACACCAAGACAACAATAACAGTCCCAGACCACACCAAGACAACAACAATAACAGTCCCAGACCACACCACGACAACAACAACAGTCCCAGACCACACCAAGACAACAACAACAGCCCCAGACCACACCAAGACAACAACAGTACCCTCGATAAAATTACACATTCGAATGTAACTATCGGTGATGCACGCGTGGCCAAGGATCAACGTAACAAATCACATTTGCCAATGTGATGTGTATCATCATGGGACCTCCCTTGCCAGTACCAAAATCTAAGAAGAGGTTTTAATCTTTCTGGCAATCATAACAGGAAGTGTGTTAAGATATTAAAACATGTGGACCAATCAGTTTCACTGACAATGAGTATAATACCAGAGCTTGTTTTTGTTTGCATGCTCACCACAAGTACTGTGTGTGGTTAATCCAGTAACTTGACTCCTTGAAAAAGGTTTCTGTTTGTTGTTTTAACATCTAAACACAACCCCAGTTTTATTGCTAGAAAGTATAAAACCTTTACTCCAAATTGTGGCGTTGATCCTTGGTTGCATCTGTCGGTTTTAGAGCAGGACACAACAATTAACCTTCTTATTCTTAGCTCTTTCGGTAAAGTCACGTTGAAGGGAAACAAAAAAATAATAAAATATATATAAAACAATAAAAATTCTCTCGACGTTTCGACCATAACACAAACGGTCGTCATCAGGTGTGTCGGTTTGCATTAATTTATTTATTTTAAAACGGTGTATTTATTTATAAAAAACGTCAGCGCCACGCGCAGCGATTTGGCAGTTTATTTAGAAGGACTAGTCCATCTATGTTCTGAAAAGAGGAGGGGGGAGACGAAAAAATTAATGTATGCTGTCTGAAAGCCACTGTAAGTGTGAACAATCAATTAAGACCTGAAATGGTTTATCAAATCTTTCCAATGATTGCTAAGCCAGAATCCATTTTCTCGGTTGAAATTGTCTCTGTGCTTGTATATGTGGATAGCCTCATGAACGAATCTCTCATGGTAGCCGGATGGCTTACAAAGAACCTCTGTCTTGGAAAAGTCAATGTCATGTGAGCCTACTGAATTATAACAATGATCTGCCACGGCCGAGGTGTTGGTCCTACCGTGTTTAAGTTCTGCTTTGTGTTTACGAATGCGGTCCGAGACATGGCGTTTGGTTTCTCCAATGTAGCTACTACCACAGAGGCACTTTAGTAAAGCAGACTTGAAACACGGTAGAACGAACTCCTCTGCCGTGGCAGATCAATGTTATAATTCAGTGGGCTCACATGACATTGACTTCTCAATGACGGAGGTTCTTTGCAAACCAACCGGCTGCCATGAGAGATTCGTTCATGAGGCCATTCACATATACAAGCACAGAGACAATTTCAACCGAGAAGATGGATTCTGGCTTAGTAACCATTGGAAAGATGTTTTAAACCATTTCCGTTCTTAATTAATTGTATTTTACGATGACCTTCAGACCGCAGCACTTGTGCTGTGGCCGAAACGTCGTGAGAATTGTATTGTCTTATTTTATTATTTTATTCTCATTCTACGTGACTTTACTAGACACTACACTACTAGACACTACACGATACAACTACACTACTATACAACTACACTACTAGACACTACACTAATAGACACTACACTACTATGCACTTACTCTGCACTACTATACACTACACACCACACTGCTATACACTACACTACTGCACAATATACACTACGATACGCTACGCACTATTCTACACACTACACTATGATACACTACATTACTATACACTACACACACACTGCACATACACTACACTCTACACTACACACATACTGCACATACACTACACTATAACTACTCTACTAAATGTATATGATCCTCAGACGTTGCTGTAGCTATCGCCGGTGCTGCCATGCTCCTCATTCTACTTGTGGTGACCGTGGGCCTCCTTCTCTACAGATTCCGACACAAACGCTTCCCCTGGGGTAAGTCGCGGTGGCTAGGAGGATGTTGACTCCCTCGCCTGGTACGCAGGAGGACGTGGGTTCGATGCCGGACCCTGACGATGCCTGCTGCTGTATATTTAGAGTTTGCATGTCTCTCTCTCATCATCATCACGGTGTAGTGTATAATAGTGTAGTGTATAATAGTGTATAGTCTAGTGTATTGTGTAGTGTATAGTGTAGTGTGTAGTATACTACTTCAGCCCACTGGTGTGTAGGAAAGTAAATCCACAACATTTACAATTTAAGTACCGTCAAGTTTTGCTGGTAATTACATCAACCAGCATAATCACGGTGTAGTGTATAGTGTTTTATATAGTGCAGTGTATAGTAGTGTATAGTGTAGTGTATAGTTGTGTAGTGTAGTGTATAGTGTAGTGTATTGTGTAGTGTAGTGTATAGTAGTGTAGTGTATTGTGTAGTGTGGTGTTTTGTGGTAATTATATCAACCAGCATCATCGGGCAATTTGCCAGAATAGTATACCTCCTTGAGTAGGTGTGATATTACACTTTAAATTATCCCTTTAAGCCATATGACGAAGACAATACCATGATAATCATCGTCATCATAAACATAAGCCCATCACGACAGGTATATATTAAGTACCCGGCGTTACCTTACACACACACAGACATCGATTCACACACACACACACATATGGACTTACACACACACACAAATTGACTAACATACACACACATGGACTTACACACACAGACATCGACTTACACACATTAGGACGTTTAGAGCAGGTTCGCAGCAAATGGGTAACTTTGGCACAAAACAAAGAGCGTCGTCAGGGTGGTGTCTTGTGGAGTCAGGGCCTGTTGTTGGTCATTTTCTTTGGTGAAGTAGATGCGTTGGCCATTTTTTAGTTGAATTGCCAATTGGACGACTGTGGGGGAACGCTCATGGATGGGGGAGCCAAGAATAATTCAAATGGCCTCATTGCTGCTGATGTATCTTCCTTGGACAAAAAGTTTAACCTCGTGCACACTTTACCCCTCTTTTTGTAAGGCAACCCCCACCCCCCACTATCCCCATCCCCCCCACGCTACAATAATATTATCTTAGTGCTATAATATTAGTATCTACCGACCCTATAGTAGTAAGTGCACACATTGGGGTGGGGGGGGAGAGAAGAGGACACGACACTTTGATGAATTTACCTCAGTGTTGCGTGTATTTATTTTGCATTTTGAACGTGAAGGAGAAATCCCCCCCACCCTCCACCGATGACGAGCGTGCGTTGCCAGGGGCAACCCCCGGGCAGCTATAGTGGCGCGGGGAAATAAATAAATAATGCTGAATAGAACTAAATTTCGATTTAAAGCTTTCGTGACTGCAAGGATTCATCTTCTTTGGTTCTTTTGGTAAAGTCACGTAGAATGAGAATAAAATAATACATTGATAAAATAAAATAACACAATAATATTCTCACGACGTTTCGGCCACAACACAAGCGGCCTTCATCAGGTGAAGGGACGAGACTGTCTGGTAGGACAGCGCTGGAGTGAAAAAAGCCACGTTCAGATCACGAACTTTAAGCTGTCAGAAGAAATAAAGCGCCTTGACAAAGGAATTAGCATATAATTTAGCATTGAAATGGCCGAGTGATTAGCGTGTGACTGGTCACAGAAATGGCTTTAAAAGTTAAAGCATACACATCCGCAGAGGCACCCCTTGACAAAGGAATTAGCATAGAATTTAGCATTGAAATAGCTAAGTTAAAGCATACACATCCGCAGAGGCACCCCTTGACAAAGGAATTAGCATAGAATTTAACATTGAAATAGCTGAGTGATTAGCTTGTAACTGGTCACAGAAATAGCTATGTTTAAAGTCAGAGCATACACATTCACCGAGGCACCTAGTACAAATCAAACAGGAGAATTTAGCATTGAAATAACTAGGCGAATTTAGCATTGAAATAACTGAGTGATTAGCTAGTGAATGGTCACAGAAATGGCTATGTTGAAGTCAAGGTCTACACATCTGAGCTATTCACAGTAACTGGGTATACAATACAATGTATAATGAATACTATATAGTGAACCAATAAAAAACTAAAATATAAATTACCTTAATGTTATCAATAAACTCTATATTCTCCAATCAGCTAAGCTACCAACAGTAAGTCGTTATATATCACAATGCTATATGGCGAAAAAATGGATG